ACTGGATGAGCTTTTGAGGTCCCTTCCAATCCCTAACGGTCTGGGATTCTGTGATAACAACAATAATAATAGCAGCACTAATAGCAACAGTAGCAGCAATAGTAATAATAGTAGTAATAATAATAATAATAAATACTAACAATAATAAGAACAATAATAGTAACAATAGTAATAAATAGCAATAACAAGGATAGTAATTATAGCAATAATAATAGTAATAGCAGTAGTAATAATATTAATAATTACAATAACAGTAATAATAGCCATAATATTAGTAGTAGTAGTAATAATAATAGCAATAATAATAGTAGTAGTAACAACAACAACAACGTTAACATTAGTATTAAGTATCAGCATTAACAGTGTTATCACCACCAAGAGAACCCCAGAGCACACTCCTGTCCTCTGGCCGTGCTGTTACCAGGCTGTAACGTGCTCATTGCTGTAAAAAAGACAGAAACTTGAGGTACAAGTGGAATAGGGTGGAAAAACTAAGTCCTACCCTTGGAAAAAGCGCCTTTGTAATCCATTTCTGCCAGGGAAATCTCGGCTTTGGTGGGGTCCATCAGAAACACCTTCTCGTTGTTGCAGAGCTGGAACTCGGTGTTGAGGGAGTAGACGACGGGGACCGGGCGGTTCGTCTGCTGGAAGGCAATCGGGATCAGAAAGCTGAAATTGGGAGAGGGGAGGAAAAAGGAGAGGTTTAGTTGAGAGGTTTGCTCTGTGCATGGTCTGCTTCACCAAAATCAAACCCAAATGGGGTGAAATTGGGCTGCTGATGTGACAACAGCTCCTTACCGCTCCGGAGCATGGGCCGTGCAAGGCAGGGGTTTGTCTCCAGGCTCTACCCAGGGCTGCGTGGGCTGCACGGTGCAGGGGATGAGGAAGATGCTGTATTCTCCTGAGTAGTCCTTCCTGGGGACACACGGAGACACCACGGTCACCAAATGATACCCCAAGCCCGACATCCACAATCATCTGATTAGCGGAAGAAGCCAAAGTTCACAGCAGGACCTAACCCTTGCCCCAAAAATGTCCTCCCAGAAAATTAATTGCTAGAAAAACGCGTTTACAAGGTGATGAACTGCTCTTTTTTCCCCTCACACAAGGGACAGAGCAGTGGTTTCCGCACTGCCAAGGCTCTGATCTGAGCCCTTGAGCAGAGCAGGCTCCTAACCCCATGATCACCAAAACAGCAGCAGGGATTGCCTGGATTTGAGACCACGCCAGTGTCGCAGTTAATTACGCACCCATTAATTGATTAGGAAGCGCATTGTGCTGTGGGAAGCTGCTGGAGGTGGCTGAACCCGCAGTCCTCACCTGTTGTAGGAGCTGGTGGCCCTCCAGAGCTGGTAGGGCGAGTCGAAAGTCTGAGCGCTCCACAGCAGCTGCAGGTCAAACTCGATGCCTCCCAGGTGCTCTGGAGTCATCAGGAAAGATCTGACATCGGGCAGGCTGTGGTGCTCCATGACAAAAAGCCCTGGGGTGAGGACAAGGACGGGTAAGGCAGAGCATTAGGAGACCGCAGGCTGCACACAGGGACTGGTTCTGCGTCCGCAGAGCACATCTGTGTTTCGCCGCTCTCCCTTTCCCTGCCAGGCCCCAGGCTCTCACCTCGGAACTTGGCCTGCGTCTTGAACTCGATCACCAGCCGCCCGTCCTCACGGATGTAGATCCTGATGATCTGCAGTCGGGCTGAGAGGACGCTGTCTGTCTGAATCCCTGCAGCGAGAACAGAGTCAGCGGGGAGGCCACACAGCATCCTCAGGTGGCCTCTGTCAGCCCCAGAAAAGCACATTTTAATTGGGATAACCCTCCAGCGAGCCAGCTATGCAATCTTCCATTATCCACATGCTGCCTAAGTCTCACTCAAGCACAAAAGAAGTAAATACAGAGTTGCCCCCTATGTGAATGTAACTTATTTTTAGCCCTTGCTAAGCTTTTATAACTGCAGCCATACCTGACCTTCATTTCAATGAGTGCTGCCCAGGCTCAGGGCTGCAGCGGCAGTGGCAAAGTTAAGGAAAAGGATACAGCAGAACAAAACAATCCTCCCATACCCCAAATCCTCAGACCTACCCGTCCTCCAGAGCACAGTGTCGTAGAAAAAGGAGAACTCCATCTCCGTGTGATGCTCCAGAGAAGCCCAACCTCTCGGCGCCGTCACGTAAATATAGGAGACGTAGAGTGGGACGTGGACTGTCAGGAAGGACTGGGCAGAGTCCCGGACCTGCCAATGAAACCCCAAAAAGTGGTTAAATCCAAAGGAGAGGCACTGGCCCAGACTCACAGCACCCACTGCGTTCGTGTTCTGCTCCGAAAATGGGGAAAAAAGCCAGGGCACCTGCCACAGGAGACACATTTGTTAATAACTGAGGCCAGAAGTGGTAAGTTTGCAATACCTTGCCATTCTGGGACAGATATTCAAGATATATTATTGTATTCCCTCTGATTCTCAGCACAGAGGCAGAAGCAGGCACAGACGTGCAACCTGCACAAGCCCTTATTCCCCTCTCCTTAACGCCTGAAGCAGCTCCATGGTGCAGGCACGAGCAGGCTGGGCCATTTTCCCAAGATAAATGATTTCCAGGCTTCGTGTTTGCATTAATTGAATGACAAACCAGTAAGAGAAGTCCCTGACTACTGCAGAGCAGAATTTTGGAAAGGGTTCAACGAAGTTCTGCTCCCTCAGGCTTCTCCGAAGAGGGAAGGAAGCTGAAGCTGGAGCCCAGAGGCAGCTACAAGTGTGTGCATCACTCCAGACCCCCCAATCCATGGGTTTCAATACATGCCATGGACATAAAGTTGGTCTTTCTGTGGGCAGAGGCACTAAAACTCACTACAGCGCAGGAGTGGGCCCTAAAACCAATGAGCTGATTTGGAAAAAAGTTACTGCTGGTCGAAAAAGAATAATGAAGAATTGCTGGAAGCAAAGTAGGCACTCAGAAAGTGCTCCTCACATACTGCAAGAACCCTGCATTTCAGTTGGAGATGAAGTGCATGGCCTTTCTTTACCTTTTTGTGCAGGTACTTTAGACAAACCTGCATTTTAAATAAGTACTAACGCACACTGGTGTCGTGTACGGTACAAAAGGAGCTGAGGTCACAGCTTTACCTCAAAAAAACCCCCCCTGTTTCTAATTCTGTGGATTAAAAATAACCAGTTCTGCTTGCTCAGGGCTGTCCCTAGGAGTGTGTGAAATGCCAGAGCTCTCTGGCTAAATATATAGATATATATGTATATATATACACTCCATCTATTATCTGCGGAGAGCAGCTGTACTTTCCAAGCCCCCAAGAGAGCTGATGTTCCAGACTGGTTGGTGCCAGGCTTCAAGTCCTAAATTATGCAGCTAGCTTAGTTCAAGTGGCTCCTGTGGATCTGTGCAAATAAAGGCAGCTATAAAAGGAAAGTTAACCAAGTATTCCAGACCGGCAGGAATTAAAAGAGACGACGGTGGCCGTAACACCATGACTGGGAATTTACTACAGGAACATAATGAAGATGAGATATTCACTATATAATCCATCCAGGAGAGGGCAGTGAGGCACAGCTGGTAGTGAAAGCCACGATTTGATAGAAGAACATTTCCAGCTTTTGGGTTTTCCAGTCGGTTTATTAAGAAATTACTTAAAAATTCCCACGAGCTCGCTCCACGGAGGAGTACAAACTGACGTGCCTCTGCTTGGTTCTTTGCTCATTTATATTGGCCAAGAATGTGGTTAAAATTGCAAGAGAACAGCGTGGAGCTGCAGAGAGCAGAGCTGCAAATATTCATGGGCACAAAGTGGAGCTCTGCCTACAAATTGGGAAAGATCTGGGTTACGTGGAGGGGTTTTGGCCACCGCACCTCACCTGGAAGTCAGCGGTGACAGAGCCTCCGCAGACATCGATTAACTCGGTCATGTCGTAATAGGCGTCGAAGGTCCAAATGCAGCTCTTGAGGTTGAGGTGCTTGTAGAGCTGGATTGTTTTTGGCTCTCTCACTGCAGGGTCGAACTGGTACGGGCGGTCGTAGCCGGGACCCAGAACGATGCTGTCGTAGGTCACCTCATCCAGAAACCCTGCCTCTGGGATTGAAGGACATCAGGACAGCGATCACTGCGGGTGCTAAAGAGCCTGAGGTCCAGTTTTCGCTCTCAAATCGTGTCAGTGACTTCTATTGTATTAGGGACTTCATGGGCTCCTCTCCTTCCCTTACCATAGAGGTCAAACTGAATATACACAGCTTTTCACAGGGGAAAATGTGACAGGGGTAAGGTAAGAATCCTAAAAAGCAAATTTAGGAACGTATGAATTAAAGGTTGAGGTTAAACTGAGAAATGCACAGAATGAAGTACAACAGCCCCCTGCTGCGGTGCACAAGCATAGACTGTGCTAACACTTGAGTTTCAGAGACACAAACTGCCTTTTTAATTTGGCTCTGGCATTAATGCTGGCAGTGAATTTGCTTTCGCCGCTGCTTGTTGCCACGCTGGAGACCTCGGTGACACAGAGAGAGTCATCCACCCCCTGTGGATCCCTCTTGAACTGCGTGGATATCACAAGATAAGGTTTGAAAAGCTCAAATCCACCAGCTACGACCTCCTCAAGCAGAGCAGCGCTGCTTAACTCTATTATTATTGAAACAATCCCTCAGCTTTCAACAGGGCCGCTCTGCTCACTGCTGTTAGTACAGGAGGATTAATTATTATATACACAATGTCAACAGCACCCAGAGGAAGCCAGAGCCTTCCCTGCTTTTCTTTACCACCCTCAGGGGTTGAGTAAGGAAGAGCTGGCTCTCAGCATTACCTGAGATGCCCCTGAGGTCTCCGATGGTGACCAGGTTGGAGCAGACGTGCTGGTGCCTGTAGATGGACTCGGAGAGGAGGAAATGCAGGTTGTGCAGCGGCAGGGTGGAGATGAGGGGCAGCATGCCATCCTGGTGGGGGATCTGCACTGAGATGTGGATTCTGCAACAAATCGTCGGTGAGACAGTGGAAAAAAGCAGTCAGAGGGGCCTCCTGCTTTACCACACACCCCACAGCAGCAGCACACAGCCTGCTGGTGGCAGCCTGATGTTTAATTTCAGCTTCATCCTCCCATCTACACATGTGCTCCTTCGATTTTCCCACTAACTCCAGCCTCTTGAGGGGAAGAGAAATCTTCCAGAAGAGCTGGGTGTGAGGAAGAGAGTGGGAACCTCTTCCTCTGAGCACCCTACGCTGTCCAAGGAGGGTTCTCTGCATGGAGAGATGTGCTTTTGAACCCAGGGGGGCCAGTGAAGGTCTGCACGCTCCCCTTCTCCATACCTGTTGGGATGCTCCTTGTGCTTGACATCCAGGTACTTCAGAGTGGCGATGAACGACTGCGCCTGGAAGCCCCGGGCCGTCCCCGCCACCACCGGGGTGTGACAAATGGCGCTGTCAGTGCCTATGGTGACCACGTTGCTCCTCAGGGGGGTCCCCACGTGGCCGGCCTTGTCCACCGCCTTGGCCACGCAGCGCACGTGGAACCGCCGGCTGAAGTAAATGCTGTCCAGCACCTGTGGGGAACCAGGAGGGAGAAACACATCTCACTACGTAGCAAAACCACTCTGTCCTGGTGTTTTGAGGCAGCGTGGAGGTCAGGGACGTGCAAACCAGGAGCACACGTGTGTGGCAATGCCTGCTTGGGTATGCAGATGGGATTGGTCTCTCTCTCATTCCCTATGTTGGGTGCTTTACAGCTTCCTAACTCTGCCCACATAGCAGAGGGAGCTCGAGCTGCTAGGATCTGCCAGACTCCAGCTGTCCGCTGCCACCAGGGATTTACTGAAGTGCCTGAGCGCTCACAGCTACGTCCCGCACCAACAGAAGCGGTGCTTTTAGCAGGCCAAATGAAGAACGGCGCTACATTTGCTGAAGCCAGAAGGAAACAAATAATCCCCAAAGCAGCACCTGTGTGTCTCACACCAATTCCCAAACCCGAGGAGATTTTAGGTCTTAATCTCTGTGTCCCTAAAGTGTAAGCAGGACGGAAAGCAGGCAGGCAACCCCTGGTAACACAGATCACGTCGGCGTGCGGAGCTCTTATTTGGGCACGGCCACTTTTTCAGGTGCAGGAACGCAACCGAAATTCAAGCTGTGAGTGACCACGCAGTACCCAGGCTGACAGAGCTGCCCCAAGCCCTCGCTGACTTACACCACCTGCTCTCGCAGCCTCGCCGTGCCAGGACCTAGCCGTGTACCTTATGGTTGACGCTAGTGAACGGCGTTTTGTCGGTGATGGTCTCAAAAGGAGACCTGGCCCCGTTCCCATCCGTGGGCGTTGCCACTTCCCAGCTGAAGTGTATGGAGGACTGGTTGATCCCCGCCTCGCTGCAGCGCTCCTTCATGACCGCGTGTTTGGGGAAGTGAGGGTCGCAGGGAGTGACGCAGATGAGCGGGTAACCTGGGGAAGGGGATTTCTTAGCACCGGCCTTGGTCACTTCTTCCACGCGGTCGTAATCTGCCAGGGTGACGACCTGTATGGATGCAAGACGGCAGCACTCGTGTGGGGATGAGGGGAGGAGCAGGAGAGGCGATCCTCCCCACACACTCCAAGCTTTCCACGTCGTTACAGCTCTGAATTTTATTTCAGAGAGCCCACCGGGGTTTTCAGTCTGTGCTTGAAGAGTACTAAACCACATCCACTGCAGCGGGCAACTTACCACGGGAGGTGCTGGGAGAATCAGGCTCCCTGCTGCCTCCTGATCCAAAATGGTCACTGTTGCCGTGCTGGTGTCTCCAAGAACAGCTTCCACCGGGTCATCGGGGCCCAGCACCAGGGAGAAGGACTCGTGCCACTCCCGGTCCTCGTTGGACATGATCTCCACTTTAAACATGATGTGGTTCACGCCTGCGAAAGCAAACGCAACAGAGAGAACTCGTTTTATCCTCAGGCACTGCCCCGAAGTTCTCATAATAAAACTGCACAGCTCGTCCAGCCTATGGCCAATTTATGGCTAATAAATTTTATTTCCACTCATTGCTACTAATAATTTAGCCCCTTCCACACCCAAGCCTACTCTATACATAAAACTCCAGCTCCAATAACTGACCCAATTGATCAGGTGAGAGATTTACCAGCAGATGCCATCTGAGGATTAATAACGCCTGCCCTGCATTAGCTGTCTGTAGTAAAAATCTATGATCCAAGGTACATCCCACCCCTCCTGTGAGCATCTCTGCTCCCTCTCACAACTGTTTGGTGAGGGCTTCCTGCTTTCAGCAACAGGGTCTAAGCTGCAGTAGTGGATCTGAGACATCTCTGCTGAGTTTGAAGACCACCACTCCTGCCTGTAAGATGCTATCACCTCTTCCTCCATTCTGGTCACCCCTCATTTAACAATTCAGCCTTTTTGCTAATTATACAAAACATCCAAAATATCTCTGGTGAGGCCATGGCCTCCAAGGACCCCTTACCTGGGCTGAACTTGAGCATCCGACTCTTGGGGTAGTAATCGACTCCGGCCTGAGCCGAGCCATCGCGGGTGCTGCAGCGGACCTTGGAGGTCCTGTTCTGATCCCCTCTCCGCACCACCTTGATATTTAAAACAGCGATGCCCTCCGGGCCAGGCGGCTCCCGCACTTGGTACGCAGCTTCTTCAAACTCAATGGTGGGAGCTACAGGAACAGCAGGGAAGAAAGAGCTCCAGGTTTGCACCAGTTTACACATGAAGGGTGTTTGGCAACGGGGGCAAGCCAAACTCAGCTCAGTTTAGACTGTTCCTATGTGTATTCAGAGCAAGGGGCTGCACAAAACAGGGGCCAAAACTGCAGCTGTAAGGGTTGGATGTGGATGAGAGCAAGGAGTGGAAGACAAATCCCAACACATGTATTGGGCTGCAGAGGACAGCACATGATTCTCACCCTGAACCAGGGACCTGGCATCCCTCTTCCTCCCCACAGATCCCTCCAGGCTGTGACTCTGTGGAGGGAAGGGAACATGTCCCAGAGGAAGCACAGTAACTCCCTGTACAACTGCAGGGGAATGGGACAAGTGGTGGGTTCAAGCCCCCATTATTCAATCTCTCCACATCAGTGAGCTGCACGCAGAGCTGCCATCACTTCACTGGAGGCATTCACATGTACCAGATAAAACCACAAACTGCTGGTGAGATTGAGCTGACAACCCTATAGCAGCATCCTACATGACAACTTCTACACCCCTGTTGAGCATCCTCGCTTACCATCTTCGTCGTTGGTGATGGTGATGGTGGCCACGTCCAGCTTCCCAATCCGAGCTCCGCTCCAATGGTTTCCAAGTGGGCTACCAAGATAGACCTGGAACTGCTCTTCTGCTTCAAAGGCAGAATCATCGCTGATATAAACACTGCAGTTCTTCACCTGAAGCCAAGGAAGCAGGAGCAAACAGCAAACGTTCATAAATCCACTGAAGCCACTTAAAGGCCACGCTGTACCTCACTATCAATGGTTGGACTTGAAAATCTTAAAGGTCTTTTCGAACCAAAACCATTTTATGGTGCTATCTAGTGTTTAAAAGGCCACACTGTACCTCACTATCAACTTGACAATCTTAAAACTTGACAATCAACTTGAAAATCTTAAAGGTCTTTGTGCTATCTAGTGTTTAATGTCTGAGTACTGTGAACCAAAACCATTTTATGGTGCTATCTAGTGTTTAATGTCTGAGTACTGTCAATCTGGGAAGAAAGATTTCTAATTTTAAGGATGTGTGGACAAACCACACGGTTACAGCAGTGGAGACACTGACTTCCACAGACTGACAGCTCTCTACAACAATCTCTGCTACAACAATCCTGAGTCCTACGGACATGGAGGATTTGCATTTCATGTTTTAACCAGTTTTATCGTGAAACAAAGACCTCCTTCACATCATATTTGCAGGACCAGAAGAATGTGACACCCTAAGCATCTAAGACACCAGTTTGGGCAGCCTCATGAAACAAAGACCTCCTTTATTATCCAGGACCAGAAGAATGTGACACCTTAAGCATCTAAGACACCAGTTTGGGCAGCCTCTGCCAACTCCCTCTGACAATGCAGAGCTGAGATCTGAACCATTCCCTCCGATGGTTCCCATTGTCCCTGCGAGCCAGGCTCAGCTCACCTTCTCCCCTTTTAAGAAGGTGATGCGGGACTCCTCTGCGTTTCTCCTCTCTGCAAAGTCCTCCATGACCTCTGCTGTCTGGCTCCTTGTGTAGCACCTGACCGAGGACTCGTAGCTCAGGTCCCCGGTGCGGAAGATGGGGATGTGCAGAGCACCTTCCTTCTCCTTCACCGTGTACGTGTCCTTGGTGAACTGCATGCTAGGCACTGCAGGAGGCAATAAGAAGAGTCAAGCAGTATTGAAGCTCCACAGAAAGACAGGAGCTAATCCAGGCATGTATACCCTGGGAGAAGGTTGTAACACAAGGAAAAGGAAACATGCAGTGGAACATTCTCACATATAAGGGGGACTTTGGCACACAGAAAGCACAAAATGAGGACTGAGCTCTAAGCAGAGGAGAAACACAGCTAAAAGTGAGGGAATGCTACAGGAAAATTCATTCTGCACTTCCAGAGGCTCCAAGCTCTTGTGGACAGTGAAGTATGGAAAGAAACAGGGCAGCCAAACGGAATGGAAGGACTTCAGGAAAACAGGTTGAATCCAGCCTAAGGACAGCTTTCCGTGGAGCAGTTTCCTGCTGCGTGGAAGTGGATGGACCGGACAGAGCTGCCATGGATCACTCACCATCTTGGAAGATGTCATTAATGGCCACGATGGCTTGGAAGGGCTTTGTCAGCTCAGCTCCGTGGGGTGAGCTGAGGTAAACCACAAAGGTCTCCAGTCCTTCTATCACCGGGTACTGAGCATCGTCCAGGATGGTCAGAGTGCAGAACTGGAAGGAAAGGAGAAGTCCTGACTTTAGAGATGCAAAGCTGCCATTCTTCCTGGCATTTATGTTTGGTTTTCTAATGTAAAGTCATTATGTCAGGGCTTTTCTGAACTCATTAATCAATTGAAACAATTTTCTAGATAAATCCCAGCGTTATTACTTCAGAGAACACGCAGACACTTTTATCCTGGGAGAAGCAGCCTGACCAAATCCTCTCTGGCTGGAGCGCTGATTAGATGCGAATCTGTGCTTAGCAGATTCATTAACAATCCTCACGTGGCCCTGAGAGGATTTTTAAAAGCAGGCAAATACAGAGCGTGCACATCAACGAGAGAGAAGTGTCCCCAGACAGAGCAGACTCATCAGGAGTCCGAGTGGCTCCTCACCTCTGCTGTCTTGCCTGGCCTGAACTCTATTTTTTTGGAGCTGGGGACGTAATCGATACCAGGGCTGGCCGATGGAGGGTCTGACGTCCGAGTGGCGCACCACACCGAGATGGGGGTTGAGAGATCAGGTCCCTGCCGGAGGACTGGAATTTCAACGTTTCCTGTTCAGAGAGAACCAAGATGAGAAAGCAGCTGTGGACCACAAAACCCCTTCCCCGCTGAGCACAGGCTGCTGCAGAGAACACCCTCCAACCTTCCCCTCAGGAGCAGAGGGAAGAGCAGAAACCCTTTGCGGAGCTTTTACGATTCCGCTGCTGTGCCTTGAATTGCTCCAGCGCGGGGCAGCCCTCGGGGAGCCCCTGCTCCTCCTCACCTGCAGCCTCGCTGACCGTGAACGTCGCATTTCCCAGGGCCACCGTAGAGGCGTCGTTGGGGCCCCCGATGAAGACGCTGGCCGAAGCCCGGCTGCCGATGCGTGCGTTCCGGGAGGCATCGGCCAACACGATCTCAAACTCCTCTTCCTCTTCGTATTCGCTGTCATCGATCAGCGTCACGTCGCACGTCGCCGTGGTGGCGCCCGGTCCAAAAACAACGCGGCTGTCATCCGTCATCCCCCGGGACTTGAAGTCGGAGCCGGATTCCAGCATATAAAGGCTGCTTCCCCTGGCTGATTTGGGGACAGTGTAGCAGATGGCGGACACGGTGCTGCTGGTGTCCCCTGAGATGCAACAGAGAAAGCCATAAGTCTATGGAAAAACTTCATTCTATTTGGTGGAGACACCATTCACTTAAATAATCCAGCAGCATTCAGAAAAGGAGTAAAAAAACAACACTATTCCTGCTCCTAAACTTGCATTAAAACTGGCTTAGGTGTGACTTCCAGGTATACTCCAAATTGGCACTCTTGGTTACTATGAAATGGGTGGCACTTGCCTATTAGAGAATGTACAGTACAGTGGCAGGCTGCACATAAAACACAGTATCTAGATCACAGAGAAGCAGCAAATAAATACAAGGGGCTGCTCCTGCTGGGAGGAGCAATGGACCCCAAAGTAGGGAGCTTTAATTTGGTTGGTGAGTCTTACAGCACAGCTGGGGGAGGAATAAAAACCCAAATCCATCTGCTCCGAATCGCTGCTTGTCATTTCAGTTGTGCCGCAAAGCCATTTCCAAAAAAGCAGAGAATCACTGCAAAATCATAAAGCAGCAGACCCCAGGGAACACCACTCGTTTTGGGGGACGCTTATTTGCCTGTCAAGGGGTAACAGCTGTTTGCCTGCTCCTGGCAAGGGCAGCACACGCTGCAAAGGCTCCCCCAGCAGCTTTGCAGCAATCCTAGACACGTGATAAAAGACTGCAGGATACACTCGCTAAACCTATCATCTATAATGCACAGAATTAAAAACCCCAAGCTCTCAGCAGCCACAAATACTCCACAGTGTGTCCCATGGGTGTAAAGCAAGTCACTCTGCATGGCTCGACCCACCTTTCCTCTCCACGGGAGCGGAGAGGACCCTGGCGTCCTCGCTGACGTGGTAGGTCTTCCTGTCGAACTGCAGGGTGGGCTCGTCCTCGGGGTCGGCGATGGTGACGGTGGCGCGGGTGACGTTCCCCAGCAGGGCGTAGGCCGGCATGCTGAGCTCCACGGCGAAGCTCTCCGCGCTCTCAAAGACGGCGTCGTCGTTGATGGTGATGGTGCAGGCCTTGGTGTCCTCCCGCTCCTCAAACTGCACCTGGAAGGCAGCAAGGAGGTTGATGTCTGTGGATCGGGGTCTGAAACTTTCAGTCCTTCTTGCCTTACCCTTGCCTGAGTCATTAAATCAACTTATTATAATTTTAACAGATTATTATTACTAATCAGCTATCACCTTGGCTATTACATCAGCAATAGCTACAAAATCCAGGGCTCTAAACAGTAGAGGATAAGGAAGAAAAAAGGATAGATGTCCAGGAAAAGCACCAAAAAAGCCACTGGAGAAAAAGACATCAGTACAAAATCCCAGTGCTACGTTGAGGATGGTTTACACAGGCCTTAGGTGCGCAGAGAAGGAAACAAGACTTGGAAGGATGGAGGTCCCATGCACAGCACTGGGGAGATGGGGGATTTCTTCATGAAATCCCAGTGTCTCTATCGCAAGGTCTCTAAAGGAAGAAGTGGCTGGGGACAGAGAAAAATCCCAACAACTATTTGTGCAACTACTCTGTAGTGGAATTTTCAGGAGCTGAAGACAAAGACACTGCCTAGGCAGAAAACACACAGCACCACAGAATGCCTGGATCTGGAAGGGCAGGAAGAAGTGAGGATGACGGACAAGGAAGCTCATGTCCACCAAATGCAATTAAAACTAAAGACTTTTTAACAGTTAGCAAGTCAGACTGTAGGAACAACCTAAGGAGAAAAGTGCTCTTCCTCTTGCGGACTTAAAATTCCCGTTTCAGTTGTTTTTCTGGCTTTTAGATGTCGCGGTGTTACAAGGCAGCCTAGCAATTCAGATTGCTTGGCCGCATCACTTTTCACCCTCCCAAGGAGCGCAGCAGCTTCTGTGCTTCAATCTGCGTCGTGCTCCATCTCTGAGGTGCTGAGCCCTGCCTCTCCACCCCTCAGCAACGCATCCATCACCCAACACGAGGGAGCTGCTAGGGTGAAAGAGCACGAGGCAGCGCCCAGGCACTTCATGGTGGGAAGCTGGTGGAAACATAACCCAATTTCCAAGCACAGCCACGATGATCAAGACCAGTATGGGTCAGACCTTCCTTTTTGTGGTGGCCCCATCCTACCTGCCCCGCGTACTCCACGTAGTCCTGCTGTCCTGGCAGGGAAGCGGAGCTGGAGGTGGCCGTTCCCTGCTCCGTGCGGCACAGGACAATCGTGTACTGGTTGAGGTTGCCGTGCCGCCTCACGGTGATGCTCACAGAGCCCGCGCTCTCTCTAACGTTGTAGCTGGAAACGTAGCAAACACAGACAAATAACAGCTCCCGTTTCCATAGTGACTGCTGTTGCACCCCTAAAATGCCAAAAAATCAACAACAGGAATGCTGTGTGTGCTGCTACAGCAGTGAGACCTCAGTCCTGATGGGGTGCCACTGAAATACAGGCACAAATGATGTTAACTGCCCCAGAATTTCATTTCCAAGCTGCAGGTCCATCACGTATTATGGGGCTCAACCTGCCTAGCTCCAGACAAGACCCCATCTGCCAGAAGAGTGCTGCAAACCCTGCACCATTTACCTGGTGTCCGTAAAGCTGAGGAGAGACCACCGGACGTGGAAGATGTTGCCGCTGACCACATTGGGTTTGCTGTCCTTCACCAGGAACTGAAAGCTGTCCGTGGTCTCTTGAACCTTCTCCTCATGCATCACGTAGCGAATGAGGCCCTGGTTCACATCCTCTGCCAGGAAGAGACATCCAATGAGCCAACCCAGAAACTCAGCAGCAATTTTACTGAGACACGCATCCACACAGCTGCAGGGACGGGGATCTTCGCACTCCCTCTATGCTGCAGCAGCTTTTCCATCTGCCTTGGTCTCACAGCCTACAAGCTGGGACAAGTCATTCCCTTGCCTTGCCTTTATCCATAATGGCTCATACTTAAAAATAAGGTAAAATTAAAGCAGCTTTGATCTAATGCAAAGATTTGCCTGGGCAGGACCTACTTCAGCTCTGTTTTATAAGCTGGCATCTCCTTCCACAGCAGATGTTTCCTGAGCTCCAGCCCTAAAATAATGTTACTCCCTCACCTCCCCTTCCTAATGGGGGGCTCCTGAGTCCTGCAAGAGTGAACTTTCCAGCTGCTCTCTCTTCACTGCTGGTTAAACATTTCCCAGACCTTGTGATGGTAAGTAGATCCACATGCAAATGCTACAACTGTTCTATACTGCCATAAGTCAAATCTCTGGCTCTAACACGTCCGGACAACCCGGGTGTCTACAGGACAGAGGCTGACATTTCTAAGAAATCAGAGGATTTCTGCAGTTGAAAGCAAAGATTAAATCTTATTTCTGGACACCCCTTTGAGATTTGCCCCTTGTCTTTTCCCCTCTCACTTTCTTTTTTATTTCCCTGCCCCACCACACACACAAACTGAAGCAGCAGTAGTAAAAAAGCAACAACATACAGCCCAACTTCCATACCCTGGGTAAAGGTGGTCACAGTTGTCCCAGGTTTCAGCTTGTTCTCCACGTAACCATTTCTGGGACCGGTTGTTATCTCGTAGATCAGCTGTTTGTCATCTGTGTCGGGGTCTGTCGTCAGTAATTCCTTCTTCGTGATGAGATTGGTTGCCTGGAATAAAGCCAAAGCAAGGGAGGAAAACCCTGGAGATCCAGCAGTGCAAGTCTGATCGACCGTTCATCCAAAAAAGCCCAACCATCCCTGCCAAACTGTGCTCTAGGAGGGAAAAGCTATGGGATGTAAGAGCACAGAGCACACAGAGTGGCCTCAAACACACTGATGCCCCACGAGATGTCTGACAGCATAGGAAGGGTTCAAATTCTGCCTCAGATCTGGTTTGTTTAATGATAAAACATTGTGGCTCAAACAAAAGCAAATTCAGAACAAGCTGCGCAGCTCCATCAGCTGGGGCTAAAGGCCATGACAAATCTTTTGGCTTCACCTGGAAATCACCGCTCCATGAACTGTGCTGGTGCTCACCTCACAGAATCCCAGAATAGGAGGAGTTGGAAGGGACCTGGAAAGCTCCCCCAGTGCAACCCCTGCCACAGCAGGATCACCAGAGCACTCACACAGGAACACGGCCAGGGCTTTGGGTGTCTGCAGAGAAGGAGACTCCACAACCTCTCTGGGCAGCCTGGGCCATGCTCCAGAACCCTCACACTCACAAACTTTGGCCTCATCTTCAGCTTGAACCTCCTGCGCTCCAGCTTGGGACCACTGCCCCTTGTCCTGGCATTGGACATCCCAGAGCAGAGCCTGGCTCCTTCCTCCTGACACTGCCCTTTCCAAATGGATCCCCAGGAATGAGGGCACCCCTCAGTCTCCTCTGCTCCAAGCTCAAGAGCCCCAGCTCCCTCAGCCGCTCCTCAGCAGGAGATGCTCCACTCCCTCCAGCATCTCTGTGGCCCTGCTGGACTCTTTCAAGCAGTTCCTGTCCTTCTGGAGCTGAGGGCCCAGCACTGGACCCAAGATTGCAGCTGTGGTGTGAGCAGGGCAGAGCAGAGGGGCAGGAGAACCTCTCTGCCCTACAACCACCCCTTCTCATCCACCCCAGGATGGCGTTGGCCTTCTTCATCAAGTCTGGCTCTGCAAAAAACCCATTTGCAAACAGTGTCAGGTTGAAGGTCTCACTCAGGACAGTCCATGCTGCTGCAGTCAGCCTGCACCCCACCTCTTTCAAACGACCTCACGGATGTGCCTCAGCTCCACCACACTTTGCTCTCTCTTTAAAAAGAAAACACCTTAAACAGCAGGAGAAGAAAGAGAGAATTGAACTGCCTGAGGCTGCAGAAGCGCTTCTTCTGAAGTCAGGAATTTGAGCTGAGGTAGCCACTTCTTAACACAATTTCTTAATACAGTGTCTTCTAACCCTTTTTCCTGGGAAGAACTGAAGGATTTCTGTGCAGTTATCTGTGTCCTTAAAAATACGCATGACAGAGTTTGCTGGGTTTTATTTGGACTTGAGCAAACAAAGGCATATCACAGCAAGAAATCCCTATACCACATCTCTTTGAAAGGACATGGTCCAGCAGGCAATTTAGTGCCCTGGAGACAGTTTGCTTGGTTCAACTAACGAAGCTGCAGTGCAGACACCCCTGCACATCTCTGCTTTTTCCAAGGCACTCCACGGGCACAGAGGGATACCTGTTCTCCCTCACAGAAGTGCTGAAGGATCAGGATGTTCTGAGAAGCCCCTTCTCCTGCAACAGCCTGAGAAACAACCTAAGCCGAGCCCAGGCAGGCGCTTACCTTGCCATTGATGTACTCCAGCCACTGCAAACCCAGATTGGTGACGACCCTGGGTGTCCCATCGTCCACAGGGAGAACGTCCACTTTGAACTGCTGCGGTGCTGCTGTCACAACCTGACAAAAGTTCAGAGACGGATGTTACTCCAGGAGGCAGAGCATTGGCTTTTACCAGCTTGGCTCCCTTCAGCTGTGCTGGGATCAAGGTCCCGGGTCAAGTTTGCACACACAAAGGCAGGGGAAAAAGCATCACATAACAGAATACTTAGCCCTTATCTTCACTGGAACAGCAGCAAAGTCTCCCCTTCTTCAAGAGGAGGTAGCTTTCTATCAGCTATAGAAGATCTCCCTTGTGTTTCCTCTGCTTCCCTTACCTCCTTCCCCCCATCCTCCACAACGAAGAAGGGATTGGTTCCATCGCTCACGGTGAAAGTGAAGCGATCCTTCAGCGAGCTGCTACCATCGTGGCTGTAGCTGATGCGGTTCTGGTAGATGTCGTCCATGGTGAAGGTGCTGGCTTGGTGGTAGCGCTGCCCGTGGCTGCTGCGTTCGATCAGGCCGTGCCGGGGGGGCTGCACGACTGTGAACGTTATTGCCTCAGCCTGTACCAAGGAGACAGAACGGGAAAGCTCAGCACTGCGCACTGAACTGATTCACCCTGAGTCCTAGAAATGTCATCTTCATCTGCCCTAGGCATAAACTCGGTTCAAATCCATAACACCCGAAGGGAAGGTGGGACAGGGTAAAGATTAGCTCTGATCACAACTTCTGAGTGTTTTTCACACATGCTTGTTGTTTACATGTCTGAGAGACATCCCAAATGAAGCCATTTCTCAAGCTGGGGCTTGGCTTTGCTCAAACACTCATCTATTTCTGTACCAACTGCGCCTCCCACAAGCTGTTTGTTTGATGTTGCGAGCAGGCAGGGGATGATCACAGGGAGAGATGTTACTCGCTACCATCTCTCTCTTTGAACACAGGCCCATTTTGCTGATAGCCCAGATGTGCAGCAGAACAAGGGAGGAAGGAGGCAAGGGGGAGTCCTGCCTTACCTCTGTGTCGTCGTCTCTTGCTTTAAGCTCAAACTCCGTGATGGTTTTTCTCACCCCTTCCTGAACCCTCATCCCAAGGCTCTGCACTACGGGCAAGGAGTCATCCACTGGGTTTATGGTGATGTCGAACGTCTGGCTCACCTGAAACAGCAGGAAAAGCCTCTCTTGATGAATTCAGTCTACCAAGAGTGCCACTCCAGTGAAACTGTTAATGCTTTAACTATTTACTGAGCAAACAAGAGCTTCTAAGCTCAGATCATACGAACATGACCTCTTCTACCCCTCTCCACTAATTCATTCCTCTTCCTTCTGTGACAGTGATGGACATTAGAGGAAAACTGACTCCCATCACATCTTACAGAACCAACAGCCTGCTCTAACTCGGGTGGAAAAAGGTGCTGGGACCCACCTCGTTCGTTCCATCAGACACAGAAAAGGTGAACGCATCCCTGTGCTTCTCAGTGTCACTGGTGTGGACGTACTGGATGCTGCGGGAGTCCAGGTCTGCCTGGCTGAAAGAACTGATTCTGGTCCCTAGGAAAAGAAGAAAAGGGGGTAAATGTGCAATGGAAAGAGGGAGGTAGGGAAAAATACAAGGAGTTGGATGAGGAATATAAGCACCCCAGCATTTACAACAGACGAAGCCCCATTTTCAGCACTGAGTTATACTTACACTTTCACAGGTCATTGGGTGGGACCCAGCACGGAAAGGTACCAGCATCTTAAAAAATACTCGAGCCTTTAGTATTTGACAGTTTTACTGCTCTTAACAACAACAGAAACCCTGCCAAGAAGTTTTCCCCTCGTTTATCACAATAAATGGCTACTGACAGGTATTGGCCACGCTACAAAAGACACCCGGATCTGAAACAAATAAATGAGCCCAAAGTGGATGATTAGCCACGATTTCCTCAGAGCTCATTAGCTTGAAAGGTTTGTGTTCTCTTTTGAACACTCCAGTACCCTCTCCTTCGGTTTAGGTCATTTAAATCACGAGAACAGCTCTTTCACAGTGTGTGACCCTGTGTCTTCCTTAGTGCTGGAAAAGCACAGAACTCAGAATCATCACATTTTAAATAACAGGAGGCATAAACTCCTCAATCGAGCTCTTTCAGGTCTCCAAAGCACAAGACTCGCTGTTTAGTTTGCAATTTAGACAAAAATCTTGCAAGGTTTCTCATTTTCTCTCGGCAGGGGGGTTGCTGGTTATAACTTCCATTCATTACTCCTACCCTTGCAGTGTGTTTGCCACAGGACATCTTACACTGTGAGAAGATGAGGCAAAGCACACACCGAAACCGCGCTGCACGGGGACTGTCTGCATCTTGAAAACACACAGCAGATATTTCCACTTTAATCGCCTGTTAATGAGAAATCTCATTCCAAGAAGAAATACCATCTTAGATGGGTATAACCTAAACCAGAAGAGCATCTTCTGTGACAGCACGGATTTAGATGAATTCATCAGAGAGGGGCAGGACACCCATATTGTCAGTGGGCAAGGAAGGCAACTCTAAACATTCAGCTCACATTTGCAGGTAATTATGTTCTGAGTTTCACAGGACTGACCAAACCCCCCTTCCCCAAATGACCAGAATTTATTATCCAGCAAATCCATCACCCCACAACGTAGCCTCCTCTTAAATTAACTCAGTGCTTAGCTCCCTTCCTCTCCCCAAAGCACAACTGGGAGAAGAAGCTGGTGTTTAGGGAGCAAGGGACATCCTGGCCAAGACAGGGACTGAAAGCAAGTTGTGGGCTCACCATGGTGGGCTCTATTGCCATGGACATTAGGGGATGGATTTTTTGGGGCATTGTGCTATAAGTGGTCACAGAAAAGGCTGAAGGTCATGCAGATGTAGTAGTAAGTCCTGAAACAGGAGATTCACGAGCTGCAAAGTCCACCAGGCAAGGTTACATGGGGCTGAATAAATCCTCATCTGTGATTATCAGGCTGCCTTGCCTCCAACTCACCCATTCTGCAGCTCTCTGGGTCAATACCTACTTAATTTTTAATGGAAAACATAATACCAAGTAAAATACATCTCCTGCTGACCTGGGGAGGCCACATGCTCCAGATGTCCCAGCTGTGGCTGCCTGGTGAGCTTGTACTGGAGCTGGGGCACCTCGCTGTCCTGGTCGGTGGCAGAGAGCTGCAGGGTTGTGATGGTCTTTGCCGAGTTCTCATCCAGGACCAGCCCCTTGTTAGCGACGATGGAGGGGGGAAATCTGTCCTCTGAAAGGGTTAAACACAAAGCTGGGTTAGGAGACGTCGCCCTCCTCTCCTCGGTGTTTCCAAATGGGGTATTTGTGTGCAAGTAAAAGACAACATTCACACGAAGCGGTAATTCCAAAACAGGTACTCAGGGCCTCGGCATTAATTGAGGGGACAGGAACATTGTAACGTCTTTAAGACATATCTAGACTTATGAAGATACTAAGGGGAAGTTTTCTGCCTTTTTCAGCATGTTTAACAGAAAGCCAAAGAACTAATCCTAACGTCTGCCAACTCTCCCCATGCCCCAGACTTCAAAGGAATAAAGTGCATAAAAACAGCGAATAAAAACAGCATCTCCAAGTTGCCATAAATGCGGGATGGGAATCTAGGAAGGGCTGAGCTTTGCAGCAGAGAAAACCTAACTTCAGCACTGCCTTTTACCTGATACATGAATACGAAAATACTGGTCCGTCAGTTTGTTGCCGTCGCCATCGATCACATCAAAGGTGAAGGCGAAATTTCCGCCGGGATCCCCTTTCCTGTGGCTGTACACCACTTGCCCTGGAGAGAGGGGACAGGAGGAAAGGGTTGGTTTGTTACAGGCCGCATCGTTTCATTCTTAGTTTGGAAGCACGCTGGCTCTGTAAACTGAGGGACTGGGGGCTTCATGGTGTTTCATTTCTTTTTCTCTTTCTTCTTTTTCTCCTGCTGAGAGAGACTTTTTAACACTTGCTTAACGATACAGGTTTCTCCTCTAATGTAAGAACCTTATCTTCCTTCTTTCCCTCTCCCTTCCCTGCTTCAAGTCCTTCTCCCCCTCTCATAAAGACACAGCCATATCATGCCTTGTCGTGATGACCTAAAATCAAGCAGTCTCACCTTTATTTATGTCAGCCTGGGTGAAGCTTTTGACGGGTCCTTTGACAGAGACCTGGGCTGGATGATCAATTCTGGCCAACTGCAGACGGCCCACGCTGGGATCCCTCTTCATGATGAATCTGATCGCCGCGTCGTCTGAATAAACAGCTTTCAAGTGCTGATCTGTGAGGCGTGCTGCAGAGCCTGCACCACAGAGAGAAAGCCCACAGACAGCTTCAGCCAGTCCAGTTAAGTGACTGGTTTAGACTGGGACATACAGCAACACAAAGCAATACCATCTTCCCCCCTCTCCTCGTACCAGCGATGAGCTGCAGGCCCCTGTTGACAGCTAAGGTGGGTGACTGCTGCTTTGGCCGCTCCATGGCAAACTCCAGCCTCCCTGCCTGCGAGTAGAGACCATCCGTGATGGAGAAGCCAAACTCATCTGTCTGTGCCGCCGCGCCGCTCTGAGTGTAAACGATCAGCTCGTCCAAAACGTCCTGGTAGGTGAAGGACGAGCCCGTGGACAGCACATGGCCGTGCTCCGGGGGCTCCGCAGCGGTCTGCCTCCTGCGGAGATGACCTGGTAGACAACAAATGTATCAAAATTAGGGGGAGAAGATGCTCTGCTGGGGACTCTGTGTGCCAGCTCTCAGTGGGATGCACAGAGGTGGACATAACCTCACTGGATAAATTGGTTTTTTCTCCAAATTGCCAAAACTGGTAAGAATTTGGCTACATAGATGAGATCCAAAAAAGGGTGCACAGCCCTCAGTAGTTGACCGTGACACTGGCCTTCACTTCACACCCTGCCTTGCACTGCAGGTAGGTGTGAGCTGCTCAGACCTTTGGCAATGAACGCCGCAACAGGACATGAGGTTACACAAAATGGCTTATTAAAAAAGGAGAAATAGCAAGGGACAGCTCTTAGAGCAGCACAATCTCTCTGTGGGTGCTGGTCCAAACACAGTCTACATGTGCTTTATATACACGTGCCAGGCTTCTGTCTCACATCAGGGGCTATTGCACACACAGACACACAGAGACAGCCTCTCCCAGCTCGTCAGGACTTACCATGGTCAGGACTTTTGGTAACCACGATGACAAGCTCACTATTGTGGGTATCCAGGTCCTGCAGGCTGAGGGAGGCGTTGGTGACCACCACAGTGGAGCCCTCGTGCACCCGGACGGGCTCCAGCACCATTTTTGGGGGCTCGTCGTTCTGCCGCTGCGCAGGTCCCAAAGGCACACAGTCAAAAACAGGGAACGGCCAAGGGGAAAGGACCACTGCACCCCCTAAATGAAACACCAGCTCCCAAATGGCGGTACTGGTGCTGATGTCCATGGATGGGCTACACTGGTCTCTCCAAATCTATGCAGGAGACACCTGAAAAATCCCTGAATTCCCCTGACAGTACCCAAGGCCAGGCTGGACGGGGCTTGGAGCAGCCTGGGCTGGTGGGAGGTGTCCCTGCACATGGCAGGGGGGTGGATCAGATGATTTTTAAGGTCCTAAACCATTCTGTAATTCTTTGAAATAAGCCCTGAGGCAGAGGCTGCAATGCACAACTGCTCTCTGGTGTCACAGGGCAATTATATGCCTGTACCAGGGGGAGGAGACAGGAGGAAGACTCAATCCCCTTGAATGGAATAAGTAGGGAGTGGAGCATCTCCCTTCTGAGGAGCGGCTGAGGGAGCTGGGGCTCTTTAGTTTGCAGAAGAGGAGACTGAGGGGAGACCTCATTCATGTTTACAAATATTTAAAGGGTGAGTGTCACGAGGATGGAGCCAGGCTCTTCTCGGTGACAAATAATGATAGGACAAGGGGTAACGGACACAAACTGGAACACAGGAGGTTCCACTGAAATTGGAGAAGAAACTTCTTCTCAGTGAGGGTGGCCCAGAGAGGTTGTGGAGTCTCCTTCTCTGCAGACATTCAAAACCCGCCTGGACGCCTTCCTGTGTAACCTCATCTGGGTGTTCCTGCTCCAGCAGGGGCATTGGACTGGATGAGCTTTGGAGGTCCCTTCCAATCCCTAACGTTCTGGGATTCTGTGATTCTGTGAAGTAGTGTCTTTCCCTTACAAAGAAGTAATTACAAAGCCTGCACTCCAAAAGCCATGTGTCTGTGTGCAAGGGGAGGCAGGCAGAGAGCACGGGCGTACCTGAATGGTGATGTTCATGCTCTGCACCTCAGACCGGCTGAAGCCGTCGCTCATGTAAAAGCTGAAGACATCGCTCGTCGGCTCGATGTTTTCGTGGACGCTTTGGAAGTAGTAAATGCTGTTCTCGAGGACATCTTGAACAGAAAATGATGCCTCTGCGGTCATGGCACTCTGCGGGCCAAAACTCTCACCTGAAAACCAAAATACCACTAGTG